TTTTTTTATAGGTTTTATATTCGATATTTTTATTGATGTTGCTATCGATATTGGTATCGATATTTTTATGGATTTTGTTATGGATTTTGTTATCGACTTTAATCGATTTTGTTATCGACTTTGTTATCGATTTTGTAATCGATATTTTGATAGATTTTGTAATCGATTTTGTAATCAGTATTGTTATCGATTTTGCTATCGATTTTGCTTTCGATATTTTTTCGATTTTGATATCAATATTTTCATCGATTTCTTTATCGATGTTTTTATCGATTTTGCTACCGAATAATATCGCTTTTGTTATCGATATTTTTTGCTTAGTGTGTGCTTTTGTTTTTTTACTTGGATATGCTCTTAACCATACCACGTATTCTACGTTTAAATTTAGCGGCTGTATCTCCGATACAGCCTGCAGGCCATGACGAAGGCGCTGGACTGTTCCTTTTTTCCATTAAGTTCTACCACAAAACGTTTCGTTTTTATATAACTTTAATGTTTTGTGTTTTTTTTTAACGAAAGCTTTTAAAATTTGCAAGAGACTAGTTGAGCCCACGGCACTCGAACCTGAGACCTCCTGAAAGCTAATAAATAGTACTCGTTGTACCACATAGCACGTAAACATATTACCAGATGTATATTTCAGGGACCGAAATTAACAGCATTTTTTTTAACAGTTAAACTTGTCCAAACATTTTTTTAAAGCCGCAATAAAAGTCCTTTCCTAATAATTAACAAACCGTTTAACCAAAATTAAAGAAGTTGGGTATCAAATGAAAGTGTACTAAAATAGCTTTCAAACTGGAATGTCTCAACGAGGAAAGCCACCTATTGAAAAATATTTGATTAAAAAATGTTATTTAATTATCATAGAACTAACCTTGGGTCATATGAATTTCTTTTGTATAAAATTATAACAAAAAATATGAATAGAGGTGGTAACCTTTGTTCGTTATTTCAGTCTAAAAGGTATTTCAGTCCTATTTCATTTTATATAAAATTTGTTTAATTTGGATAAGCGGTTTGTTTATTAACCGGAATTGACTTTTATTTCGGACTTAAAAAATATTTGGCCAAGTTTAACTGTTAAAAAAAATAACTGTTATTTTCAGTCTCTGGTACATTTTGAATAAATACTGAAATTATTATGTTTTCAATTAACATACTTATTATTTCCCGAAGGTTTTTCACTGCCGGCAAAACGTACATTTCTCTGCTGCCTGGGAATACTTATAAAGATATCTGAAGTATGAATGCGCCCATCTACGAGTAGGTCCATACAAATTTCTAAATTTTATTTCCCTTCTTCAATTATTTCATCTCAACCGAATTGGCTAAGATTAATGACGCAATGAAGTCAGCTAGTAATAATAAACGAGTGACGTCGGCATAAATCCAATTTAAGCGTGACAGCCATAAAGTAAACCATACATATGTATGTATGTATGTATGTACATTTGTACCTCTGCAACATATTTGAAGACACTTTATAAGTTTAAGTGCTTTTCAATTGAATGGTTTGCTGGAATTTTGAGCATAGAGACAGTTATTTACTCGTGCATCCGCAAGAAGATAGACATAGGAGCTTACGTAGGTTTGTTAAACAAATATGTATGAACTTAAATGTTATAAAAATAATATTAACAAATGTATCAAATCAAGTTCATGGTGATTTGCAATTATATTATTTTACGTATGTATGTACATATGTAAGTAACTACGTCATACGGCAATCAAGTAAAGGGCCCACATGCCGCGATTTCAATAATGCTTACACATAACCAGTTCTGCAAATTCACACGTGTCCACGAATAGGAGGTGACTTGAGTTGTATGTGTATATGACATATGTATGTATTAGGGTCATTCAGAAAAAATATATATATTTTTTTCCTCTGAACCATGCTCAAAAGTTTCGTTTAGACGCCAAAATAAGTCTCAGAAAATATGAGCCCTTAATATTAATATTAAGAATATCCGCATCGCACTTTTCGATTTCTCATAAGAATAAAACGGGATTTTTTTTTATTTTTTTATTTCTGATTTTTATATTTAACGAACGATGCATTGTACTGTAAAGGTCCTAAAGCAGTTTTGTAGATAAGTGAATGCTAGGTCAAAAGTTATTCAAGGCTGAAGAAAATAATAGAAACCAAAAATGTTTACAAGTTTTGGACATTTTTCATTTGTCCATTTGATGGTTCATAAATTTTATATAAAAGTCTAACTCATTACAAAAAAACCGGTGACCGCTATTAGAAAAAACTTTATTTTTTATTTTTAGATGTTGATCGGAAACTACACTCGAACCCAGGCTTTGCGAAATGGTACCACTATCAAAAATTATTATAAATTATATAAATAAACAAGCAAAGAGGATCCGAAACTTGTCATCTTTTTTTGATTATATTATTTTTTTCCACCACTACACATATTTACATACAAACATGGATATATGTTACATATAGCAATTCGTACTTCGATATAAGACAGAAAGTAAATTTAAAACATATTTAATATGCGTAATTTGAAACTAATTACAAACAAATTTTTTTTTGTGGTTTCAAATTAATAGAATTTTAATATGAACATTTATTTGATGAAACATTTTAAATGCTGATTTACACTTTAAATGCTGTTAGAAATAGAAAAAAATCAATATGCGAAAATTGATTTTTTCTGAAATTTTATCATACATACGTATGTACAAATTTATAAACCCACTGGGAAAATAGGTAAGCACCTTACGAGGTAAGCCATGTTTTCTTTCAGTTTTTAGTACCAAAATTGTCATCATGGCCAATGTCATCTACTAGTAAAGCACAAAATGAACACCTCCAACGACACATTACGTTGTCAGTTGCAAAGTAACGTGCAGCCGAAGTTATCTCCAAGCGCCGAACTACTCCGAGCGACTTCTCTGCATTACACGTAACTTACTTTGTAAAGCGGCTCAGAAGTATGTCTGATACCAAATGTACATTCTAAATTCCTAATTACATAAGGCGGCCATGCCTTTGTAAAAGTAAGGGACGTTCGGCAGGGAAATGGCAATGACTGCCAGGTGAAGAGTAAGTTGCTAATAAGGTATTATTACGTGCTCCTAATTCCCACTGGGAAAGGAAACGATTGAACACACATACACACACACACACACATGCATATGACGCATGCAAATAGCCCAAATTACACAGATTTGTAGATGAATAAGCCAGTGATATTTTTTTCTGGGAATCCACATTTCATTATATTTTCAATTATTGTTTACAAAGTCATATTTTAAATTACGATAATGCACTTTTTGTGTACTTCAGTACATACATAAATATTGTGCCAACAAAAACAAACATCTTTTGACCTTTAACTTTTTTCTTTGATTACATATACTACATGCATCCATACATACATACATATAAATGTATATGTCAGACGCTTATATTTGTAAGTGTGTGTGTACAGCTTTTAGACCCCTTCGAGATTTTTTCGGGAATTTTCAGAATATTTTCGGGTTTATGTACATATGTATCTGGAGATATTTAAATATATTTTCGCAGCTTTACAACATTTTTTTATTTATTTTTCGGAGCCTTTCAGCTTTTTGTTTTGGCATTTCGCGATATATATTTAAAAAAGTAAAGTAAGTTAGGTTAAGGAAACTAGCTTTGGGAAAATTGTCGCTTACAACGTTATTTGAGGCTACCATTCATACATATGTATTTTTCGACACCTCTTGCGTTTTTTCGCACTTTTTGGCAATTCCTTTGGGAGAATTTGGGGCACTTTGTGTTTTTTTTTAACGATATTTCTATATTTTTTCGTGAATTATTTTTCAAGAATTTTTCTGAGCCTATCAAAATTTTTTCTCCATTTCTCGCGTGTTATTTTTCAGTATTTTTCGGAATTTTTTGTGATTTTCAGAATATTTGTTCATGCTTTTTTAAGATTTTCGCGGGGTTTCCAAGGCCCTTTTTATTATTTAATATTATTTTCTGGGGCCGTTCGGACCTTTTTTATGAAGTTTCGGGATTTTTGTGACCTTTCGGGTCTTTTTTCTTTCATCTTTCAGCATTGAACACATAGTTCCAAAGAAATTTTACCTGCTTTTGCTAAAAAAAGAAACTACTTTTGGCACTTTGATTGCTCAAACTTTCATTGCTACATATTTACATTGTACATATACATATGCGCATTAGGGTGGTTCGAAAACGGTAAAGTCGGAATTGTATGCTCTCATTTTTTTATTTTGAAATCAAAAGCTATTTAGAGGTCGCTCAAAGCGCTCAAAGTTTTCCACGTATTTTTATATGGGAAAAATAAAATTTTTCGTAGAAATGGTATAGAATTCTTGAAAATCGATATTTATCGATCGGAAAACTCTGGTTCTCTTTGGCAGGCTTTCAATTGTTTATTTAACCCTTTTTTAATACTAACGATTTTTTATTGGTCGCCTCATTGCATTTTCGGGGTTTTTGTGGGGTTTTGGCAGGCCTTTAAATTATAGTTGCGATGAAAAAATGGTTAAATAAACAATTGGGTATTATTATTGGGAATCTCCTGCAAATAAACGGAGTTCTATGGTAGGAAAATATTGATTTTTAACTATTCTATACCATTTCTACGAAGAGTTGTTTTTTCCCAATATAAAATACATGGAAAATTTTGGGCACTTTGAGCGACCTCTAAATATTTTTTGATTTCAAAATAAAAAAATAAGGGTATACTTTTTTCAGTATAGAGCATTCCTAGGGGGTGAGAGCATGAAAATTACGACTTTGCTTTTTCCCATGTATATTTGGACCACCCTAATGTACATACATATGTGTTAATGTGCTTATGTATGTACGCAGGAAAAGCATATTACACTTTTATTTTCTTTCTAGAAAAGGGTTTTTTAATTACAAACTTCTATCCTTTATTGACTTGATTTGTATTTCATAATAAGCATTTCTTTTTTTTTTTCTTCATGAACCGCAAAAACCAATAGGTGAGCGTTTAGATTCAAATTTGACACCAATTCTAGAGAAGAACGTAATTAAGCACAAAGGTGGTTTTTTCATCAAAAGTGGTGACACAATGCTGGAGTACAATCCGAACTTTCGTCTATATATTACAACATGCTTACGCAATCCAAACTACTCACCGGAAATAATGGTTATGGTAAGTGAGTGGTAAGAAATATGTAGAGTACATAGTACGTACATTAGGGCGGGTCAATTTTTTTCGCCTTAGCGCGAACACTACCGCAAAGTGCTAAGAAACCTTTTTTGGCAATTTGGCAAACTCCAAACTGATATTAGACTCATGGTTTCTGCATCAAATTTTCTTAGAATTACACGTAGAATCCTCCTGTACTATACCCGCATAGGCAAAAAATTTTACCCGCCCTAATGTGCATACATACATATGTATGTAGTAAATAGTCATATGAATATGAGTAAGTAGAATATATAGAAAGTGATTACGAATTTTGTTTACACTAATGCTGATGCTGATGCATAGCCAGGACAATTGACATATTGTGGCTTATTATCATACCCGCCGGCTGTAAACGCTTCATTTTTCTGTGCTCATATTTTCACTGAAATCTTTTGTTTGCATTTTATTCCATTATGCAGCTACTCCTTGCATGTATTTTATTAAAAACAAAAATATAAAAAATTCAAGCCCTTACAATTTTTTTACGGTTTTATGTGGTTACTGTTCTTTCAGTGTATTTTATTTGACAATCTTCTCCATGTTATAATTATTTTTTTTTGACACATTTCCATTTCTTTGTTCACAGGTAGCCGTTTTGAATTTCATGATAACGGAACAAGGTCTACGCGAGNTTCAGTGTATTTTATTTGACAATCTTCTCCATGTTATAATTATTTTTTTTGACACATTTCCTTTTCTTTGTTCACAGGTAGCCGTTTTGAATTTCATGATAACGGAACAAGGTCTACGCGAACAGCTTCTAGCGAATACAGTGGCGCGTGAACGTCCTGATTTGCAAGAGAAAAAGGAACAACTCATTGTTGAGTCAGCAAAAAATCGTGATGCTTTGTACACTATTGAAACACAGATTCTTGAGGTAAGCCAAATTTATGTAAAATGCTATTATAATGAGTTAGCTATGTATGTATGTACATTAGGGTGGCACAACCAAAATAAATTTGGAGTTCTAATGCTCTCACCCCCTAGGATTGTTCTATATCGAAAAGATATATTCACCAGTTTCTTTTTAACCTCAAAAATGTTTAGAGGTTGCTCAAAGCCCGTTGCATTTTTATACCCGAGCGCACTTGTGCACAATGGTATTATAACTTTGTTCGCACAACGGTTGTTTGTAACAGCCTAAAGGAGTCGAGATAGATATAGACAAATGCATACATAAATGATCACAATGAAAAGGGAAGTCGATTAAGAAATGTCTGTCTGTCTGTCTGTCCGTCCGTCCATCTGTTCGTGTACACGATAACTCGAGCAAAAATTTAGATACCTTTGTCCAAGGTAGGTTGCTATAGAAAATGGGCAAAATAGGACTGTAACCACGCCCCCCTTCTCAAATAACGGTATTTTCGAAAAATACAAAAACTATGATATTTCAGTAAATATTGGATCCAAATTATTGAAAATTAGTAGATATGTTAAGTAGAATTTTGGTGCAAAATAATATTCTTATGAAATTTTTGGAAAAGGGGCGTGACCCCGCCCACTTATGATGAAATACTGTATCTTAGTAGCCGCTTCACCAAACCTTACCAAACTCGGTAAGAGCCTTGTTTAGGATGCAGCTAAAAAAAATTTTTGGAAAATTTTTGAAATCGGTCAATAGCCACGCCCACCTCCCATATAACAGTAATTTACAGAAACACGAAAACTACGACTGATGCTAATTGACTCAAAATCGATTACTGCAATGGCCACTGGGCAGAAAATTAGATTATAATGAATTTTTTAATTTTGGGCGTGGCTCCGCCCATTTCTGACCAAAAATGTATATCTCGGTAACCGATTTATCAATTTCTACCAAACTCGGTGCATTTAATAACCTTGGTACGAAAAATTAATTCGTTGAAAATTATTCAAATCGAACTAAAATTCCACCGGCTTCCCGTATAACGGTAATTTTTGGATATACGAAAACTCTGCCATTTCAATAACTGAGGACGTTCGTTTACTCCAAGTTAAACCAACCATCTCTCAACAATAAATAAGACTGTTATAGACTTTTAGGTAGTTTAAAGAAAGTTGGAACGACGATAGCTGATACCTGCGCTGGATATATAAAATTCGGTTTCGCCCGAACTTATACTTCTTTACTTATCTTTATTAAAGTACTTGAATTTATTTTACCTTTCCTTTAACCTTTGTCCAATATTGTGGGTTGGAAACCCTGCGTTAAACCAGATTCTGGGTACAAAAATCTATATACATACATATGTATATACATATACATATCAGAGATTGAACAAACTAATGCTGGATTTCCACTAGGCATTAAATGGCAAAAATGACAAATGACAAAGTCGGTCATTAAAAAATAATCGTGTCATTACATTAAAAAAATAATCATTAAGATCATTTCCACATGGCATTTTTTTAAATGGCAGACATTTTTTGTCATTTCAATGCCTAGTGGAAATTCGGCATAACTTTATTTTATCTGAAAAATAACAGCAATGCGGCTGGTACAGCTAACCCGTGTGGTGAATTCTTCTCTTGAAAATATTCTATGTACTTATGAGAGTAATAATTATACTGACCATAACCTTGCTACATTGCCTAACTTCTAAAACCAAATTAAATAGATTTTCAAATTAAATTAGGAACCATAACAATACAAATAAACAAACAAACTCGTATTGCGTAAATGAAGGAACCTAAATATACTACGCTCTAATTTATGGTAGCAAATAGTATGCGAAGTACTTCATCTTGCAAGACATAACAAATACATACTTTGGAAAGATACCGACATATGTACCTACATATATATATATATATGTAACAACAATCGGTTTGACGATTTCAGTACTAAGTTTACCAAATCCATCCATCAACAAAATATACAACCTAACAAACAAATATACAGACATATGTATTTACCTAGAGTCCACAAATGTAGGTACTCTAATATGTCATTCAAACTACTTAGCCACAAGCTGTGCCATTTTCTTATATGTGCATAGAAACCATGTGTACATTAGGGTGCATCAATCTCCATACAAAAAAATCAGTACTAGTATTTTTCTATCGGAATTTTACATTTTATTATATTTTAAAGATTTCGCGAAAATATTTCGCTATAACAATAAGATTTAGGTACTCTAAACCGATTTGAAAATACCTACAAAAATATTTTTTTTTATAAAAAAAAAATAGTTTTTAAAATCGTTTATTTTTTATTAAAAAAAAAAAATTGTTTCTAAAATCATTTAATTAAAATTAAAAAAAAAATGTTTTCAAAATCGATATTTTTGATATGAACAAATTTTAACTTCAAAATAGTTTTTCTAAAAACTCACCTGAGATAAGAGAAGAATATTATCTTAAAAAATTTGCATAAAATTTTTAAAATTTAAAATTTAATAATAAATTTAAAATTTTTGGATTTTTGGTGGTATTTTCAAATAGGTAGCTGACGTAAATCTTAATATTTTTCCCGAATATTTTGGAGAAAGTCTTCAAATACATTCGATCTTATAATTCTGGTGCAAAACCCATAACTTTTTTTTGGTGGGGCACAGTAATGTCTATAAAACTGTATGGCATATTTGTGTATGTACCAATCTCTTACAAATATTGTGTACGTTTGTATTTAACTTCAACTCCAGTAGACACTATTCGTACCTATATATATATCACTTCCCTTCTACACCCTTCCCCTTCACAGGTGCTCTCCTCCTCCGAAGGTAATGTATTAGAAGACGAGAATGCTATCAACATACTGTCATCAAGTAAAATACTATCGGAGGAAATTCAAGAGAAGCAAGTAATCGCTGTTGCAACTGAAACGGAAATTGACGCCGCACGCCAACAATACGTACCGGTGGCCAAACATTCCGCCATACTATTCTTCTGCATCAGCGAATTGGCAAACATCGATCCAATGTATCAATATTCGTTGGCCTGGTTTCTCAATCTATTCGTAAATGCTATATTGAAGGCGCCTAAATCGACAGTGCTCGAAGAGCGTTTAGAGCATTTGAATTATTACTTTACGAAATCAATTTATCAAAATGTTTGTCGATCGCTTTTCGAGAAGGATAAGCTTGTCATCTCGTTGGTAATGTGTTTGGGTATATTGGTATCGCGGGTGAGTAAATACATGCATAGTTACATATGCTACATGTACATATAACAAACAAGTACTTTACTCTGTAAAAAAAAGCTAAGATACTCGCGCAAGTGTGCACTCGAAGTGAAAGTAGTTAACATTGAGTAAAAATGAAATAAATACATTTAATGGCGTATGAACCAGTACCGAGTGTTTGAGCGCCTATTAACATGCAATTATTGCGCCGTTAAGGCTTTTTACAAACGCACATAAATTTATAGATCTACAAAAATACATGAACATATTATTTGCCCTCTGTCAAAACATTTTGGCTCATTTCAGTTTAACTTGGTAACCCCAAGATGGAATTGGAGAGATCTGAGAGTTCCACCATCATCTTTTCTTCTGGGTCTTGACCTTACCCTAGCCCCTTCTTTTGCAATATCCCCCGAAGCCCTCAGGAGAGCTTTAGTGTCGAAGGTTCGATTGATGATTTAGTGGAGAAGTTCACAACAGCCTCCGCTTGAAAAGTCACACCGAACTGGTAGGCGATGGATCTTTCGGAACTCAGGGCATCAAGTAGAAGCCTCTTTTAATAAAGCCAGGAAGCGTGTACTACACTCCGACTGGGAACTTTATAATGTCGTCCATGAAGGAATTTCTGCGTATTTAGGCTCATCCTCGCAAGGTGTCTAGTTCCCTTGGGATACTTGAGAGCTGTGAGGGGCAACTGGATTAGCAGAGAAAATCGCCTATGCTACTCCTAGATGTTATTTCGCAGCTAATTCTGTACCGTGTTTGGCTACTGGAGTTAATACAGTTCACTGTCCCGCTTCCTCTGGTGAACTAAATACTAAAGAAACACCGACTGCTCTTTGCGTCTCCCGCTTTTAAACCCTTAAAGTCCTATGGAATAGTTGACATTATTCCTGGACGATTGCACAATGTCGGCGAGGTATCCTGTACGAGCTGCGTAGACAGCGAGCGGAAAAAATCTATCCCGTGCGGGATGGCAATTTGTGGTCTACTCTAGGACAGATGGGCTTACAGTAGATTAACTATGGCTGCAACTGGCTAAGCGCCAACTCTCGATTCTTGCAAGGGTACTGGCCGGACCCCATGCGGTGTGAGTTCATAACTCAACGTACCCATAATGCCGTAGCTGTTTGAAAGGCGACAAGTTTTATGATTCGTTTGGGGAAAAAGAAGTTTTTTTATGCGCGTATTTTCGGACATTAGACAACGTAATGTTTGTTCATATGTATATATATTAGGTTGATCCAAAATAAATAAAGTAGGAATTTTAATGCTCTCACCACCGAGTATTGTTCTATATCGAAAAAATACACCGCTATTTTTTTTATTTTGAATACAAAAAATTTTGATAGGTCGCTCAAGGCGCTCAAAGTTTTTTAAGTTTAAAAAAAAAAAAACTTTTCGTAGAAATGATATAGAATTAACAATTTTTTAATACAACGAATTTTTTATTTGGCGGACCTAGAAAATATAGTTTATATTCAAAAAATGGTTAAATGAATAATTCGGTGTTATTATTGGGAATACTTTGAAGAGAAACAGGGCTTTCCGATCGAAAAATATTTATTTTCAAGAATTCTACATTTCCACGAAAGTTTTTTTCCTCTAAATATTTTTTGATTTCAAAATAATAAATAGGGGTAAATTTTTTCTTTATACAAGAATCCGACTTAATTTTTTCACATTCATTTTTGGACCACCCGCTTACACTTGTAGTTGCAAGTAGACTAGTTGTGAAGCGTTTCGCCCAACCCTTGCTATTTTTTTGTTTACTTTACGACTGTTTCATTTGATTTATTCAATGTTTTGTCCCTGCTTTTTTCCTTACTAGTTACACACTTCACTTTTTTTCTTTGCCACTACTTTTCTTTAGTTTAGTACGCTCATCTCATTTTCCTACAAACATTTCCTTTAAATTTTTTTTTTTTGCCTATCTCTGGCTTTTGACGCCATTGCCATCTTAATGTTGATTAATTTTTTATTTAATCCCATTTAATTTGCATGAACAAACATAAAACTGCAATCATCTAAATGGAACTTGCCATTTGCTAATTTCCAACTTCATTCTACGACTAGCCTGGCAATGATGCTGGCCATCAAGGCAAACGATGCAGCGCCTGCTGCTTCATTTGTAACTACTCGTATTTACTAAGTTGTAGTATGTTGGGCGTTGAATGCAAATGCTGCTAACTGCTAATACCTTGCCTACAGGCTAATATGTATCTACTTACTTATTTGCTGCTGCACTCTGAGCGTTACAATAATACAACACAACACAAACAGTCGCAACAACTGTGGCAATGAAAACAACTAAAATGCCAACAATGCCATTAAACATTCCTTTCTAGTACCAACAATACACATAAATACATACCTTAATACATAAATAAATTTGCAACAACTAATACTTTAACGAATGTAAAATGCAAAAATGACTTTACTATCTCATTCGAATTTTTGTTGTTGCCCTTGCCACTGATGACTGCAATTGCATTGGAAATACTCTGTGTCCCTGCTGCTGCTGTTGCTGTTGCTGTTGCTGTTGCTGTTGCTGTTGCTGCTGATATGCCACCATCTCCAATGGATACTCAAATAGGGTAAAATAAATAAATCGCATTTGTTGTTCTTCTTGACTGGAGGCGTTGGCTTGCAAGCGGTGCCGCCTAATCCGGACAACAGTTGGCTGCCGGAAAAGGCCTGGACACAAATGTTTCGCGCGAGCGATCTCGAAGGGTAAGTAGATAATGACTAAAGGAATACAATATGAAAAACCGTTGCGTGAGAAAAATTGAGCCCACCTCTAATTTCTAATTTGAATATATGAAACGGAAAACTTTTATGGGAACGACTTTTTTAAAAAGCTCTTCTTTTTATTTTTTGAGAAAAATTTGTCTCCTTCTTGATTTCACCTGTAACCTAAGCGATTTTGCAAAAGTACAATGAATACTCGTTTCGAATCGAGTAAAATAAAATTACAGCTGCTTTCTCTCTAATACAATTTAAAGGGTTCTTTATAGAGTATCATAATTTTAAGAAAAAGGTTTCGATTCGAGTTACATTCGATCATGGATGACGTGGTTCCTACCGGGTAGGTGCATACTTCTGACCCAGACCTCACAGAGCAAATGCCACATAATCTTTATCTTGAATACTCCCAGCTCACCAGCAGTCTCAGCTTATTTTCTTCATTAACCAACGGCGAAAGGACAGTGTTGTCGATATGTGTCGCCCAGTCTGAAACCTCATTTGGTATCGAACAGCTCGGAAATTGCCTTCCTAATTCTAAAGGGTTTGGTTGTATTGCTTAAAGACATTTTACACCGACTTCACTGTGCTCGACTAAGGGTTGCGGTTCATCTTCTCTACTCTATTTAGTGATGTTACCGTACAAAAGAAATGTTTCCTTCATAATTAATGTTCTGCACATCGGTCATAAGTTTTCCGTAGTTTTCTTAAAGGAGTTTGTCTTTGATAAGGGACCGGCCGCAGTCGATGATCCTAAGCCCTTTATCGAACGTTTCGTCGTGGAGACTAAGCGGTGTGACCAAAGATCCTGGCCTTGTAAGCGTAAGACATTCACGATTTTACCTTTGAACTACTATCAGCAGTTGTTTGGCATTCTCCAGGCTCATATTATACAAACTTTACACTAATTTGGTGGAAACTAGTATTATTAGTTCATTTAGTATACAACGCAGATCTCGATGCTGATAGCAGGCGAACAAGAAAGCCTCAACTGCGATAAAAATCCCAGGTGGGGAAGGACTTGGCTTCGTCTAGCATTTCAAATTGCCGTCAGTTGGTACAAAAGTGAATCGGCTGAGGTGCTTCATTGGACTCGAACGAAATCGGTTAATCAAAGAAGAAGTGATGTTAGTTCTCGGCCGCTTTCTGGAAACTTTCACTTTCAAAACAGATGTACGCTCAAAGCGCACACAGATTTCCATGTGTTTTATATAGGAAAAAACAAGTTTTCGTAGGAATGGTATGGAATTCTTGAAAATCAATATTTTTTATCGTAAAACTTCTTTTTTCTTTAGGAGGCTGCCAATAACAAAACCCAATTGCTCATTTAACCATTTTCCATTACTTACTATTTTTTATAGGGCCTCTAAAAACCTCGAAAAATAGTCAATAATATTAAATAGTTAAATAAACAATTAGGTATTGTTATTGGGAGTCTTCTGAAGAGAAACGAGGATTTCCGATCGAAAAATATTTAATTTCACGAATTCTATACCATTTCTACGAAAACTTGTTTTTTAAATACATGGAAAACTTTAAGCGCTTTGAGCGACATCTAAATATTTTTTGATTTCAAAATAAAAAACAGAGTTACAACTTTTTCGGTATAGAACAATCCTAGCGAGTGATAGCTTCAAAATTGCGACTTTACTTTTTTTACGACCCTAATGTACATCCTTAAAAAAATAAATAAAATATATTCCAAGGAAAGTCGGTTAAAAAAAAATTAATGAAACCATCAATTTCTGGGAATGTAAAGGTTTATTTTTAAGCTAAGTCGTTTTAAATTACGTGCAAAAATTCGATGAAATTTCCATAAAAATATTAAAATTTAATGAAAATGAAATTTTTCAGGATTGTATTGGAGGATGGTTCCGTGCGCAGAAGTGGAAAACTTTTGACTGCCATTCACCTGGGAGTGGCCAGAAGCGATTCTTGTGCGTACGGTTCAAATCGCAGCTCACAACGTCCGGATATTTATATCCACGTATCCTCTGGGTAGCAACCAAACACCCGTTTGGGAGCGAGCTAAAGTGAGAAGGCGTAAAACTTCGCGTGCGCTGGGTTTGGGTCCCGCCACGTTAAAACCCCGCCCAATGAAAAATTCCAACAAGCCTCGGATGAGACCCCCTTTTTCTGATGACGACCACGGCAAACGTATAAAGGACTATGATTTAAGGGTATGCACCTGGAATATCCGGACCCTTAATTGGGAAGGTGCCTCTGCCCGGCTGGTTGATGTCCTCGGGAAGACAAAGGCTGACATCACCGCCATCCAAGAAATGCGATGGACGGGGCAAGGTAAAGTAAGCGTGAAGCCTTGCGACGTCTACTACAGTTGCCACGTAAAGGAGCGCAAATTCGGTGTTGGATTCGTGGTAGGAG